TATGCAAACTCCTCTCAGACTACAGACTCTTTCTCTCATGAGTCTCATAGCAAGAAGTCAATCCTAACTAACCAAAACTTGTCAGAGTCACCCGTACCGTCTTTGGCCCTGGCTATCCATCAACTTTCTCAACCAAGGGAATGACTCTTATGTTGGCCGATATTGAAGAGAGCTAAAGAGGTTTCCTTAACTGAGTTGCAAGCTATTAATTAATTCTCTTATTACTGTCCCCCTAAAGGTCGCATGTTTGCCGTGGGCTGTTCCATGGGTCCATTGCTGCACTACTGGTACTCCTGGCTGGACAGAATCTATGTGGGCAAAGCTATGCACACAGTCGGTAAGAAGGTTCTGGTGGACCAGATGATCGCCTCGCCATCAATCGGCTTGTGGTATTTTTTAGGTGAGAAGACTTTCAGAGTTTATAAGCCCTAAGCAGCTTCATCCCTTAGTGCACACATACACACATCAACATTGATCAGGATGTTAGTGCATAAACAGTTTCTCTATGACACACACACACACGTAAGACAGAGTGTACAGAGTCAAAGGTTGGTCTTAAAGACGTGGGTGAAGTAAGACAAAAGAAGGCGTTTTTCGATATCAGAGGTGTAGTTCAAAGGTCGCCTGTGATAAACAGTGTGAATTCAACTGACTGTGTGTGTGGGACCATTAGTCATTGTTTTGTAAGAGTTCACCGCTAGCCTCTCACCTTATCTGAAGTTGGTTTTGATGAAGCGTGGCACTGACGCACATCAGACGGACTACTCTGTTTATTGCAGGTATGGGTGTCATGGAGGGACACACAGTAGCCGAAGGATGGGAGGAGTTCAAAGACAAGTTCTGGGAATTTTATAAGGCAAGTACACCTGTCAGGGTCTGACCTGCAGATCTGGAGCAGTAGTCCATTGTACATGTTCTCACCCTGTCGTTCACTCATCACATCACAAGTTCTTCATTGGTCTAACCGGGAGATGAGAAGTTGATTTCGCAGCTTTTTATGCCTCCACACCGGCGACAGCCGTGACCGGAAGCATTCTGTTTTCGGGTTGTCTGTACGTACATACGAGCCCGTCCCATTCTCACGAACGTGATATCTCAGTAACTCCTTGAGGGAACTTCTTCAAATTTGGCACAAACATTCACTTGGACTGAAGGATGAACCAATTAGATTTTGGTGGTCAATGGTCAAGATCACTCATCTTGACCTTTTGACCACTCAACAATTCATACACTAATTATGATGACAAACAATTAATACCTTTTATTAAATTCCTGTCTGGACAGTTATGGGTGTAAGCTACAACTTGACAGAGGCATACAATCTTCAGCTGCTCATTTTAGTTGGGGAGAGATAGAGGGGATGACATGCAGAAAAGGGCCACAGGTCGGATTCAAACCCGGGCCGCTGTGGTTAGGACTAAACCTTAATGGTATGCACTCTACCAGGTGAGCCACCAAGGCGCCCCCAACTCTGGTGATCATTTAACTTTTCATCTAACACCATGTTCTTGACAGCTCCAAGTGCATTTGTCCTTGTGTTGAGCAGATTTACTCACTATTCTGCATCAAACAGCTCCCCATCGATGATAGAGCAAATAAAACCTCCCAGTCACTGCCCATATTTACCAGTGTTTGGCCTGTGCCCTGGATTGATTTTCTCAGCCCGGCCAGTTGACGGAGCACACTTCCCTCCCCTTCTCACAGTTTTAACAATGTTTGCACTGGGTAATCTGTCCGGGTTTGTATATGCTAATCCGTGTTGTTCTTGCTTGCAGGCGGACTGGTGTGTTTGGCCTGCCGCTCAGATGATCAACTTCTACTTCCTCTCGCCCAAATACCGCGTCCTCTACATCAACTTTATCACTTTAGGGTGGGACACGTACCTCTCCTACCTCAAACACAGAGTAAGTCAGCCACAAAGGTCATTAAAGGGACCTTCTGATCAACTGCTCAGTCATTCTGTTTAACTGCAGTATTAAACTACAAATGTGATTGATTTAAGGATTATAAGAGGAAATTAGTGGGTTTTTTTCTTATTATAACCATTTAAAAACTTTAAGGCTTTAAGTTTTTCAACACTGTGGGCCTTATGTGTTTTGACATAGCAACATAGCACCCATACTAAAATTCAGGTTAACAAACAATAAAGGATATTTATTATTGTGCATTGTATATCTATAATGTACAGTATGTCAAATAATAAAAGTAGCTAAATAATAGATTCTTCTATCAAGAGGTTTCACTATAAGAATAACTACTTCTTTTAAAGTGTCTCTTTTACATTGTATTGCAATTAATTGTGTTGTTCATTGTGAACATGAGGAGAGAAACTAACTAACTTTCTCGTGAGTTAAAAAAAAATATCGTGGTATTGGTAAAATTGACGTGTGAACTGGTTTCTGTTCCACTGACAGGATGACAGCCCGCATGCTGACCTGGTGTCAGACAGCAGTGCTGTGGATGTACAGCAGGAAGCGTCCAAACCTCTGGAGGAGAAAACCTAGAGTTCATGCTCAGCTGTAAGGTTATTCACTGGAAGCAAAAGAACATTTTGATGTTTTTATCTGTTTCTTTTCCTCCTTTGCAAAACGCTGTGAGACCATTGTGTTTATTACAGTTTCTTCTGATGGTCTTTTCCCTCCTGCAAAACCACTCCTCTCTCATGTTTAAATCGACCATGTGTTTGTCTGGACTCAGAGGAGATGCTGATACTGAGTTGAATCTGATGCAACACTGGACTCTCTGTGTCCAGTTTGTCTGTTTATGTCTGAATGATGTGGACTCTTGTAGGAGCATTCAGGGAAGAAAAGCTGTTTCACTGCCCTAAACCACTGCACCTGAATCCAATTTCCAGTTGTTGAGAGTGGTCGCTGCGGGAAGAAGATTAAAACGCCCGCAGACAATTCATTTCCAAAACCTCTAAACAAAGTATCATCTTTGTTGTGTTGTTGTACCCAAAGCTTTAAACAGCCCAAAATTTAACAGAATGTCATTCCTTTTATGTCTGTCATTTTTACTTTTTGGTTTGACATGGAAGAGTCATTATTGATGTTAAACAGCTACTGTGTTTTTGATGCCAACCGATTTTACCTGTGTAAACTTTGCCTTAATATATAGTCTAGTACTATATGCCAAATAATCTCTACCTGGTCTTCAGTTTATCTCTGTGAGGTTACTATAAGCTGCTGCATGATTGTGAATCTATAAAGTGATTATGGTTACATATAAGAACTTCTATGTTTTATATTTCACAGAATCCTCAACTGTACGAGGTGTAAACTTGATTCCTGATAGATTGAAGATGTAAAATTCATTTATTTTTAAACTGTGCAGTAGTTTTACACTACTGACTGTAAATGTAATACGATATTCTGTACTCCATATCTCCAGCAGCTAATTTATAAATTAAGTACTTTTAGTTTTGGCAGGTCAGATGATAAATAAGTTTATGTGATGATAGAAATTGTGTCAACAGGAAATTTGCATACAAATGCGTGTAAAGAACTGAGACAGAGATAGAGATTTGTAAAGAATTTTATGCTACTGAATTGTATTGGGTTTTATTGTTTTTTTTTTTTATTGTTGAATTTTACAATCAGTATATTTATTTGAAAGAAGACATGGCAACAAGAAAATTAAATTACACAAAATTTAGCAAATGATATAAAATAAATAACATTTAACAGCAATTCTGTTTTCAAAGTATGTAATGACTTTCTTGTGGTACTTTGTATCTGAATAATACATTTTATAGAAGCCTTCAAAGTTTGGACAAAAAATTTGAAATGAAAATTACATTTCAAGTTATTGCAGCTTTTGCTCTTTGATGTTCTCATCAACAACAGGAACAATTTTAGACTCTAGATGTTCAGAATTTTTGTGTGATCATTGCATAGCTCTGTCAGTTCAGTGTGGCAAGGAGAAATTATTTTGTATTTTTCCATATGATTATACAAATTCTAACAATACTAAAAATATAATCTTAATTTGCACAACACAGAGAGAAAAGGCAAGTCTGTTTCTTTCACACCTTTCAACAGCGTGGTGAAATCCAGTCTTATTGTCATTGTACTTGTGTACAATCAAATATACTGTGATCTTGTCATTCCAAGATAATGTAACTTGCTAAAAATATTTAAACGTGTAACGTATAAAAAACAGTAAAAGTTATGTGCAAAATTCTGCCATGTAATTTGAAGTGTGGGCTGTTTTATACACTGTAAACATACAATACAAGCAGACAGTACTGTTGTACAAAGGTTTATCTTCAAGAAGCAAAATAATTCAAATGTAAGTGTTTTACATATGACATAAAATAACATTAAGATATAATAAGGAGTAACATTTAACAATTAAAGATAGGAGTTTACAGGAGTAAAATAAAGTAAGATAAAAAATATGCTAAAAGTGATTCAACACAAGAATAAATGACTTTTTAGTACCTTTCTATTTTCAATAATATGGATTTTAGTTTGCTTAATTGGAATATTGATTGTAGAAAAGTTGTTGCTGAAATGTCATTTATCTTCGAGAGGAGCCATATAAGCATTTTATTGGCGCTGCCTACACATATCTTATGATTGTATCAATATTACCTTGTGTCTGTTCTTTTAATGTTTTTTTTTTATCTAACTTTTTGTATTTGATCTTTTTTTTTTATTTTGTGCAAACAAACTGAATAATACTTGAAAGATGTTTAAGGGATTTCTTCTGCACAGAGAGTAAAACGTAACATTATGTGCATCAGGAAAGAGCAGCAGCAAAGAGAGTATTTAGAAGCACCAAAGTCAAAGTTGTTTTCGGGACAACATGAATCTTCACAGGTTAGAGCACGCAGCAGCAGAAATCAAGAAAACAGACTTAAATGTCACTTGAAATACGTTAGAAATAAAAACCTGTGAGCAGGGATGGAGCTATTAGCAAACACAGAGCCTTATTCAAACATTGATGAAAGATTTGATATGTACCAACCCAACATTTAGAGCACTCCTCCTCAGGCATTCAACACATCCTGCTGTCAAGGATGTAGTGTGTCTGTGTGTGCTTGAATGTTGCCGTTATGATCGTTGATCTTTCCCTGTCTCAACATGCCTGCAGCGATGCATCTCATTGTACTGGTGTCCCTGTTTGCGGTGACAGCCTTTAGAGGTAAGCCAACATTTCACATTTTTACCCGTGTTCGTTCGTTTGGGAATTTGCCTGAACGTTATGTTGAAGTCTTATAAAGATGCAAAGTTATGCAAACAGGAAATGTCTTGCAGTGAGGGGGAGGTTCAGCAGGTTTGTCTGAGGTAGTCTGGTTGCAGGTTTTCCCTCAATATGCAGGAAACAGTTTTTACACCTAAAACGGTAACATCGATCAGTGTCTTGTTAAAACATGCAGCCTTGTACTAAGACAGAAACCTTTATATTCAAGAAATATAACCATGTGTGTTGCAAAGTTTGTTTCTCTGCACTTTGTCCCATACATTTCATTACAGTGAAATATGAACTGCTAACAGTAAACCATAAGAGGAAGTTAAAGTAAATGGAAAGGTCATGTCTGGGTGGAAACTGGTGCAAATATTTGATCAGTGCAGTGTCTGGTACTTATGAACACACACGTACAGCTGACTGCCAGCCATTTTTCTGAATCACCAGTGACCACAAATCATTACCTTACCGGCTGTTAATTCTGCTTCATTAAACGCAGTCAACAGCCTCATCTGAACCTCAAACTAAACTGTGACTTAATGACAAGAGAAAGGCTTAAATAGTTGACCAAACAATCCCACCTCGAGGTCCTACTTCGATCATACAACAGAGTCTTCATCAACAGATGCTTGTTTGATTGTTGTCGCATATTTTCTGCCAACTTAAAGTTCACTTGAGTGCTATTGACCAGCTGCCAGTGTGTTTGGGTTTTTCAAAGATTGCCTCCACTGAGTATATTTTCCGAAAATTGGACGCTTAGCTGTGTAACTGAAGGTGGATCCACAGTCACCTTCTGTGCATACACATAATTGATATACACATATTTCCCTACGCCTTTGCTTTTAGTTTAGCATATCAGCTTTGTTATCTTAAAAAGCCTACAATCACACTCCACCAGCCTTATCTTCCTTAGGTCTGAATGCTGTGCATCATCACATAGTTTGTGCTATTTGTTTCTCTGCAGTCAACACCACCTCCTCTGCAGCTCAACCACCAGCTTCAGCCACAAATGCTGAACACCACACTAATCTGACTGTGAGAACAAAAAATGATGTCATTTCATCTACTGTGAAAACCACCAACACATCACAGCAAACTACCCTACACCAGATAAGCACAACAGTCACTTCAGAAAAAATGTCATCATCACCACCACTATCCTCGACGTCCCCACAAACACCCAACAAGACAAAGGAAACCAACCCCAGCCGTCGTCCTGAGACTACAATGACCAACAAGACGTTGAACGAGACAGTTTCCCCGAGATCAACACCCCCACAGGCATCAGGATCACCAAACGTCACTGCAACCACCACCGTGAACACAACAAGTCCAGGTCAGACCGGTATCAGAGCCCAGGGTTAATTTGTTATTCTGAACCATCTGTCGTCATCATCTGTCCACACTGCAGTGCAATTCAAGTCATTTGTAGGAAGAAGGTGCTGAACTTTTTCTTTAATAGTCACAATTTTATTTGTAAAGAAGGTCATGATGTCATTACTACTGAGGGTTAATAGATGGCTCAATAGATCTATGACTATCTGTCAGGCTGGTTAAAGTACTGAACAGAAACCTGTTGTTCTTGTCTCATTAGGAAGTACAACACAGTAAGGCACAGTTTCTGAACATGGGCTGTGTGCATTTCTGCATTTATTTAGCACCTACACCAGCTTTATAATCAGAAAAGACATGGAAATCTCACTTTACAATATGGGACCTTTAACAAGGAATTTGTTGCTCTTTATTCTGTTAAACTTCCTTCCTCCCTAGGTCCCGTCATAATTACTGTGGCCGCTAGAGGTCGACTAATGATAAAACTAAACAATGGGTTGTAATAAGCAGTTTGCACAGATGACCTATGGGCTCACAGGACAGTCTCGCTAGTTTAGTTTGCAGTAAACTAATCTCACGAAAATGAATTCTAAATTAACAATCACACAACAGCTGTAATAACAAAGAGCACCAACTGATGACTCTCCAAGTACTTTGGAGAGTAGAAAAGAGACATCTGTCAGATGTTTGTTTGGTCATAGATCTGACAAAATGGCGGACGCACTGCCATCGATGCCAGCAGTGGTTGCTATACCAACAGAATGTTCAACTGAAACCAACTGCTGCTGGCAGGATAGTACATAGAGTGATTTTTTGTGAATTTCACATTGAATGTAATGTTTTACACACTTTGGATGCCCTGTGCTGGCAAATGTAGAGTTGCAGGTCTTTTCTTTACTTTTTTCAGCAGAGACAGAAATGTGTTTTTTTGTCTCTCCCTCAGCTCTTTCACATGACCAAGGAAAAGGTGACTTGGCAGCAAATCCCGGCCTTGTGGCCATCATCTGCATCTTTTGTATTATCCTTGTCCTCGTGCTGGTGGTGGCCGCCGTGAAATGTGTCCGATCATCAAGATCCAACTTTGAGAGGCTTGACGATGTACCGATGGTGAGTTAGAAAACTTTTTTTGGTGTAACTCATTTTAAACACTTAAATTTCATACAATATTTACAAATCTGGGTGCATGACACATTTGAATATGCATTTGTTTAAGGCATGCTAGCGGTATTGATCAGCCAGTTGATCCAGACTGAAATATCTCAACAGCTATTGGATGAATTGCCATGAAATTTTGAACAGACATTTTTTGGTTAATGACATATTAATGGCATTTCCATCAGCCCTGGCTGTATGTGTGTTCATTGCTAATTAGTGTTGATATTAGCATGCTAACACACCAGTATAAGATGATGATCATGGCACAATTTATATCTGGTAAGCATCAGCAAGTTTGCATTGTGAACATGTTAACATGCTGAGGTTAATATTTAGCTGAAAGCATTACTGTGCCCAAGCACAGCCTGACAATGTCGCTACCATGGCTGCAGACAGTCTTGTTTTATATTCGATGCCATTGACTGCCAAAATCTTGTAGACATGACATTTTGACATGACACAAACTTGTGTACCTCTTGAACATCTTGTCCAGTTGCTACCACATTTAGACGAGGAATGTGCAAATCAACTCCAAGTGAAGAAGGAAGCTAACAAATAAAACGTATGCAACTAAAAACCAAGAAGAACACACAATAAACAATGATATGACAAAAAAATATAGCAAGGTTCTTCCTGGTGTGTGCAACGTGCCTAGTATTTTCACCAGCAGGGGGCAACACCAACAACATGAACAAGCTGTAACTGGCAGTGGTGCATTGTCTCACTTTTCTGAACTGTGAACCCTGGCAGTGTGTGAAGGCTTGTATTTAAAGCATTTTTACTAGCATGTGTCATTTCTTCCTTTCCCCTCAGCAGTGAGCACAGTGGTTTGCTGCTCTCTTTTTTTACACAAACAGGAAGGCTGACTAGAAGTCTGACAAACAGGACAGTGTATGGTGAGCGTGTGACAACTAAGCACTTTCTTAGGAAATGAAAGCTTGTCATTTGCACTCCATCAGTGTGTAAGCAAGTATTCAGACACCCCAGATGATTAAAGTGAAAGTTTAACCAAGAGTCGGGGCTCCACCGTGTAAAAAACAGAGACAATTTCTCACCAGAGGTGCAAGAAAAACACTCCATAGAATAACTGTCACCAGCTGTCTATAAATCTTTATTGCCACACGACTGCAGATGCTGTAAAACGCTTTCAGGACATTGTGTTGGAGGAGAACAGAGTGTACAGAATATGAACATAAACCACAGCTCGTGCAGCACATGGTCAACAGCATATGGGTCCAAACACAAAAACAGTTGATTTTGCAAACCGAGCAGGTGATGATGAAAAGATGACTTGCAGGTTTAATAAGTGACAGGTCTGCTACATTAAAAAAAAAAAAGTGATGGACTGGGTATTGGAGCAAGTCGTTTTGGTGGTGGGTGGTGGGTTGTATACTATTTTAATGAGAAATTATTTAATTAAATGTGTTGTTTAATAATGGCTTTTGTATTATTTCAGCAAAATTTACTTATTTTGATATTGTCATTAAGAAGGTTACTATTTTCTCTCTAAGAAAGTACGGAAAGGACAAAAAAAAAAAAGGTTTCTTTTTAAAAGAAAAACAAACATGATATAAAAATGATTTGTGTCCTTGAAAAAATAACAAGAAAAAAATCTATTTTCCCTGCCTGTGATTCCCAACAAAATCAAACACATTTTAACATTAACCAGAATTTTTCAAGGGAAATATTCACACATCCAACTATCTCAGATGCAGGCGTGTTAGAAAGTCTCACTTCAGTCTTGAGAAACAAAATCCTGCACACTGCTCTTGCTCAGCTTCACAATTTATTTAAAACGAAGGTCCAGAGGGACTGAAACAGTTACACAGACTCCTCATGTCTAGCTGAATCACTGTTAAGTTTAGCTCAGTTGGTAAGGCAGGTTTGTAACACCACATGTCCAATTCAGTCATTGTAACATTTACAGTATGTTGCAGGTTATTAGAGATTGTTTCTTTCACTTAACCCCTTTGTTGTTTCCTTCCGTCTCTCCAGGGCAAAGTCAATGAACACTCTCCTTTCGCCCAGTACACAAAATGACAGAGGAGTCTTCATCAGACACCAAAGTCCAGGAGGAGTCAGGTCTGCTGTAGGAGCCTGATGTTTCTGAGCACAAAAAAACCCAAATGTCTTCCACACAAGCAATGACTCCAGCTTTAGGTGCACAAGAAAAAGACATATTTTATTGTTTTCTCTCAGGCTCTTATTTCTTTACAAAGCACTTTTGTCAGTGACAATGAAATATTTCTGCCTCAGCTTTGACCTTTGACCTGTTAATCTGGCTGCTTGTAATTCTGCTGATTTTGGCTCTGAAGTTTATTCCTCTGTAGTTTCTTCAGCCTAAAAGGTACAAATGTAGATATAATGTTCCCCAGACTGGTCCTATATGTCCTCGTAAGCACTTAAAATTAATAATTGCACTCTTACATGTAACGAGTGATGTTATAAGTACACTATACAGTATATTTTATGTTTCCATAAATATTTTACGATATGCACACTTGCAGATTTTTGTTGTCAAGGAAAATGGAAGATGTATTTCCACCATTGAAAGTGTATGAAAAAGTAATGCTATCTGCGTGTGCAAATGCCTTTTTGGGCAATTCAAATAATTTGTATCATATAATTTACCGCCACATATGGCATATAAATAATGTCTTCTCTGGCCTGAGACCTCCACTGCAGATTGTAGTTTAAGTCCTACAAACAGTCTGAGACAGAAATAAACTGATTGCTTGAATTACATTTGTACGTAAGTCCTTGGAGGCAAGTGAGGAAAAAAAATCTATTTTCTAAGTCAGCTCTGAATTGTTTTCTCTCCTATGTTTATAACTAAAGAAGAGGTTGAAAAAAAGTTTTGCAAGGATAATCTTTCTAAAGTTCCTTAATTGTTTTTTCATCTGTGATACTTTTAAAAAATTGGCAAGTGATTTTTGTCTTTTTATCAAGAAAAACAGGATGGCTTCCATCCCCAGTCTCCTAGTTGACCCCCTCATCCACCGCAAGCTGCTTGATTGATATGTGGACTTCATTGCTCATTATGCTACCTCACCTGACTTATATATATATGTATATACACACTGTAAACCACTACCCTCATATATAGAGGGTAGTGGTTTACAGCCTCTTGTGGCTGAAATGAGTATTACAACCAACAACAACCTTTTTTTTACCTGCCAAAACCTTTTTTCACGTGCTTTCCCAGATGGAAAAAATTAAGGAACCTTAGAAAGATTATCCAGGCAAAACATTTTTTACTTGTTCTTTAGCCATAAACACTCATTAATTCTAACCTCCAGTACATACAGCTCTCCTTATTGATGACACAGACTTCTTCCAGTCAAGAATAAAATACTATAACTAGTTTCATCTTTCATACTTTTTTTAATCAGTAAGTTTTACAAAGTGTTTATGCTCAGGGATTGCCGTAAATCCATGCTTTTCACCCCAGCCTCTTCTGCGTGCATTATAGACTTGCTGTCAGACAGATGTAAAGTACATAATTGTGATGTTTTCAATAAAAAAAAAATGAATATTACCAAAACACACTTTTTAAATTTATTGTATTTTGGTATTCTGGTTGTTGCGATCCCTGACTTATATTGATGTCATGATCAGGAGAGCCACCCAGCAACCCCGCCTAACCTGCTGTCAGCCACACTCTAACATGTCAAGTTTCCCCAGATAGATGACTCAGACTCCAGAGATAAAGCATGTTGGCTGCAGAGTTTGATAGTGGGGAATACCAAAAAAAGTCAGAGCCACTAAGGCGACTGTGTCTCTGTGGACAAACTGTATGTGTGTCTGAATCACTTTGTGGTCTTGGTGTCTTTAACTCACAACTAAGACACTTTGCCAGTAAAAGCATAAGAGGGACAAGTCCAAATCTGAGGTTCTTGCCCAAGTTGTTTACCTAATATCTGTAAATCTGACTAACATATATCTTAATAACATCTGTGAGCACGAAGGAATCCTTAAGTCTTTTGAACTTTTTTGCATCTTAGACGATTGCAAACATTATTTTCACCTAATATATGAAGACTGGCACCAGATGTTTTTTTTTCAAAATTATTATTTTCTCTTCTGCGATCTTTTTTGTTGACCCACTTTCACTTGTAATGTGCATAAAACCACTACATGGCCTGTTTGTGCTGAATTAAAAAATGGTTTTAATGTGGTAAATTAATTGAAAAGAATAGTGCTTTAATCCCATGTATAATGAATAAATTAAGAAGTTAACAAAGAAATGATAGATAGATACAGACATCAGCAGACACTCTGTATCCACCCTGGTGATGCTCCCCTGGGCCTTCACTGCAGCAACTTTTAGCTCCTTTCATGCTGTTGCTTCCATCAGCAGTGCAATCATCAATAAATGCCAGTGTGTCAGTTCATGTGTATATGCCCGAGCTATAACCAGCATCATGTTTGACAGATGAGGTTGTGGCTTTGGGTCATGGGCTGTTAGTTTTTTTTTTCTACCTCACTTTCGTCTTTCCATCATTTTAGAGGCTGATTTTTGTTTCAGATTTTGTTGCAGAACTCTACCAGTTTCTTTTTGAATGTTTTTGCATAGTGCGACCTGGCCTTTATGATTTTGAATCTTACCAGAGGTTGGCATGTGGTGAATCCTCTGAGGTCATGAAGGAGACATGCCTACATCCTGCAGAGCATTCTTGACGTGCTGTGCAGTCCCAGTGGTTTTTCTTCACCATGCAAATGATTTTCTTGTGCTCCTCTGTCATCCAGCTCGTTTGCTATTTTCTAATTTTAGTGTACACCTGCTTACTTAGAACATACATAATTGCTGATTTTGGCAGAACAGGTATCTCTGACAGATTTTTGCTTTTGATTGAGCCTCATTATCTTCTTCACATGCATGCTTACCTCTGCACTCGTCATACTGGACAGACAACTGCACCTCAGCGTAAACTCCCTGTCAACTCAATGCCCAATAAACATTTAGCCTAGCAGCCGTACTACTTCTGAGCCCTTGCAGTTTGGACAGAATGTGTTAAAAGTGACCCACTAAGTTCTTTGTAAAGTAATTTAAACTGACTCAAAATAAAGCAGAGACTTGGCATTTTAATATGCTGAACAGCCTGAAGAATAAAATAGCTGTCCAAACTCTTACAGTCAGAACTGTAGATAGATATTAAGGAGTCACTGTGGAGGAGGCAATAAATCAGGGACAAAAAGTCAAGAAATCTGACGAATGATGAAAAACATGCAATACGCCTGTGTGACCTAAATAAATGATAGATAAGAAAACAAAGAAGGAGATTATATATGTGTGAGGTGTCATATCATTTACTGGCTACACCAGCAGGCCAATGCTGAGCAGTGGAGTGGTAAAGCGCTACTTCAGCAAACCTCGTGGTTAGTGTAGTAAAGTTGTTTACGTCCCACGGCCACATTTCCTGTCATGTGACCCGACAGTCCACGTCACAGTGACGCTCAGGCACGCAGCGCTGCATGTCGCAGAGTTTGAAGTCTAACTAACTAACGAACTAACTTGCAGCAATAAAAATGGAAAGCAGCGATAACCGCAGCAGCATTACCTGACACAAACCTCGGGCTGGTTAGGCAGTGTTTTCCCGAGAGGAAAGCCCGCGAGAGAAGACGACCGGTTCGCTGAGGTGAGTCTTTAAACATGTAGCCTACCACCAGATTTCAAAACTGTGACGGCAGATGCGCTCAAAGATGCGGCTGATGTCTTTAACATGCACACGTATCCCATTAGATAGTAAGCGAGAAAGCTGAGGGGCTGACAAAAAACAAGATTCTTTTAAAACCATTGATTTCTCTATGGGAGTGTTGTGTTATCCCTTTAGTTTTTTGGGGGGCACACAGCCTATCTGAGACACTCAACATTGATTTTAGACTGATGATATCTTAATGAATGTAATGCCCAATCACTTTTAAACACTCATATTGAATTTAATAGTGTGTTTGTGTTGCTTTAATGTATGTTTTCTTTAATATCCCTGTAAAACAAGATTTATTATAATGGAAGTTCTTTTCTGAAACGTAGTTATACTCTCACATGGCCTCGCCCTGCAGTAATATTTGTATAATATCCTCTGTGGTGTTTATCATAACATCAGTGCAGCACGTATTCAGTATGATCAGTTCCAGTAGTCTCCAGTCACAGTTGCATTGTATTGCATTTAACGTAATGTAAGCTGCAGTCGTTTCTGTGGAACTGCTGGACTAATTCAGCTTCATGAGCAAACCAACATGGAATGTATTTCCCCAAAATATTTACGCGTTCCCTCCTCCTGTCTTTATCTGCTTCCTTCCTCCGTATCTGCTTCCTTCATTCTGTCTCTATAACCCCCACACAGATGGTCAGAGACAGTCTCTCAACAGTTTGACAAAGTCTAATCCCTTTCTTTCTTTTTTTGTCTTAAAGGGAAGAGGGAAAGATTTAGCTAAAACATTATCTCATTTAATCTATCTATCATCATTTCTTTTGTTTGCTTTATCTCCATTTCATTATGACCCCCCCCCCCCCCCACACACACACACACACACATACATTTTCAGAATCAGATATCAAAGTGTGAGAAGAAAAAATATGTCATTTTTCTCACTAAATTCAGTGTGCAGCGACTTGTCTCTACTTGGTTTCACCAGTTCAGTCCTGTCTGGGACTGTTTTTAGTTTGTTTCATGGAATTCATTGCATTATATATCAACTCTATTCAATTAGGGTCCTTGTTATTTACTGAACTATGTCTTTTTTCTGCTCACTGTTGTTACATTTTATGGGCAGAACAGTAAGAAAAGTGCAAATATTCAGAGAAAAATCCACATATCCAGAAAACAGTTTGGTGTTTAGTGATAAGTCGGCTGTTTAAGAACTCAGGGACAGTTGCTGTATTTTTGTCATTTCTGAGTTGTGAAGTGTTTCTGTTAGTGATTATTTTCAGCCTCTATCCATCCAACCATTAATGGGAGTTATAAGGTTTCTCCAGTGAAATGTGTAAAACTGCTTTCCTCCACACTTAAAGTAGAGTTACATAATCATGCCCGGAGCTTCTAGCTGTCTCCACAGGGTTGAACCCGTTGTGTCCGACCAGTTTCTCTGTCGTGGGAAACTTTGGGAATCCTTCAGTGTCATCAGTTTAACAAGAGGCACGGAAAACCCGGCATGACTGTCCTGTCCGTGTCCAATAGATGGCATCCTGCTCCAGCACTAAGCTGTCTCCTCTTGTTCTTATCGTCCATCACCATCTGAGGCTGTTTGATCTGCAAACATTTGCAGAGCCAAAGCTTAAATCGGCTTTTGTCTGTCTACATGACTCACTGGTAATTTAACTGAAAATGGCGTTTGTCTCGTCACTTCCTCAGAAATCACTGGTGAGAATAGGAGGAGGTTTTGAGAAAGAAAAAAGAGCTTTTATTGACATGCGACTGAAATACAGACCTGGTTCGTCAGTTTTAAAGTTTGTCACATCAGTATCATTTTTTCTGTAAGGGGGGGGCGACTTGCAGTACTCAAATTGCATGTGTCTGTGTGTATGTTTGGAGGAGGGGAACAACAGGACAGACTGGAAGTGTGACATTTTGACTTGAAAATGCAGAATTGCTGTTGTGAAACTCAAAACCAGAACTTAAAGCAGACTGATATGAGATGACTCTGAGGAAATAAGACTACAGCAGAAAGCAAAACTGAACAGAAAACATAGAAGTAGAGCAGAAACACACCTGTATAGATGGACTATCACTCACTGTAGTCCTTCGGTGATTACTGTCTAACTATACTTGCACAGGGAACTATCCTCAGTTTGAGTTTGACATCTCGGTGAGTAACACTTACTCAGTGTTAGCTGGGAACCCACAAGTGGTTTTAGCTGAGCTGCTTCCTCTATAATACAAATATATTTGACCACAGTGGAGGTTAAATGCCTCTCAATATTCTCTAACTAGTTGAATTTGAACTTTTTTTCAGTACAGGACACAACTTTTTAATTTAAATCAAATCAAATCAAATCAACAGAAACAGATAAAAGCTAAAATTAAAGTTTATAAATGAAGTCAAGAATAAAAGAGACATATAGCTTTGATCTGAGAAGAGCACGAATGAAGTGATGGTGGATGTGAAAGTGAACTCAGATAAAATGCCATTTGTAGTATGAAGGACTTCAATACAAAATCCTGTTGTAGCAGTCAAAGAAATGAAATGATGCCAAAATGTGTACGGCAGCTAAACGTTTCGAATTAACTGCTGAAATTATTAAAGCAATAGACATTTGACATTTGAAAAGTAAGCTTTCTTGCAGAGTCAGATGAGAAGATTGATACCACTCATGTCTCTTTGATGTGAAACTATGTGAAACTACAGCCAGCAGCTGGTTAGTTTATCTTAGCTTAGCATAGCACAAAGGCTGAAAGCAGGGACAAACAGCACACAACACAAACATAGGGTAAAAAAAACAAACTGTGGTTTTATGGGGAGTTATGTAGCTGACTGTTCCTTAGCTGGAGCGGTCACTTTATGAAGTCTTGTTGACTGGCAACCTCACTTTGACAATAAGAGAGTGAATAGGCATATTTTCCAAAAAAACTCTTCATTTAATATTCTATCAAAAAGTACATGCATAGACATAAGACATAGTGTATAATCACATTAATAATTCATAGAGCTGTTTGTGTGTATGTGTGTGTGTGTGTGGGATGAGGGTGGGGTGTGTATCACGCTTTCCCACCCGTTTCACAGTGAAGCTCTTGAACGTTGCTCAGACTCTTTGCAGGCCTTATCAGCTCTGGTTTTCACAAGCCTATCTTCTGTCTTCTGTGCGTCACCACGAGGACAGCATCATAAGACGCCTTGGGTGTTCACTTTATGGTGGTTTGATTGTTGGATTTAAGGACACCGCTGCTGAGACAGTTAATCATTACAGACTCTTCTGTGTCAGGGCAGAGGCGAGCGCTCAACTCACACTGCATGCACTTGCACAGCATTAGATGGCTGCACCATGACACAGAGCATGAGGCTTTGAAAAATGTTAAATTAGAAGCATTTCAGTGTTTAAATTCACTGTCACTGCTCTAAAAAATTATTGTAAAAGAAAAAACAAACCCCACACAGACTACATAGCTTATATTTGTG